AGGCCAAGATCAGCCATGGGCACCAACCCACAGCGGATGGTAGGAAGAAGACGCTGCCTCCCAACTGGAAGGTGAAGGGTCGCATCATGTTCGTCGATAACGATGGTTCAATCATAGAGTTAGACGACAACTTCCAGGAGGGAGTAGGGTCAGAGCCAGGCAGCGCATAAGCTTCAGGGGGTGGAGTAGTTGCTGCCTTTGTGCAATACAAAGGGAAGGCGACCGGTAGACGCTGCGGAGGCTCCCGGTCTAGGAGTCAAGTAGACCCCAATGCTCCTCCATGGGAGAAAGCGGGGCTCACTGAGGACGTGTGGAGAGACCGTTACACGGTAGGCTTGTATCCGGTGTGGCCAATATGCCCATAACCAATTCAAGTGCGGGAATAAGAAGGTAACGGAAAAGATCCCGCCTACAATGGGGCGGGCGTCGGTCCTCCGCTGCTCCTGGTAGCAATGTTGCCAATTGTTCTGGCACTGCTTTGGGAAACATGTCGGGCTAGTAGGAATTGTAGTTGTTCTTGCTAGGGTCAAGGTGGTGGACACACTCTCACCATCTCGAGAGATGGCCCAAGCTATTGACTCAGCTGTCGTCCCGCAAACACATTCGGACAAATCGATCCTCTGTTCGATGAATTGAATCCTTAGAGGAGCTAGAGGAGGACTGGTCTAGATCGGACCCGCTAGCTTCTTGGACGGCCATGGCCAAAGCTCCTAAGGGTGAGTTGTTCGTCGGCGAGGTAGATATAGGCGACCGCAAGGCCGGGGCCTTTTACGATACTTGCTCGACGAGGAACTTTATCAATTGCACGCGCGTTGAGAGGCTGCACTTGCAGAGGCAAGTGCAACGCATGAGTCGACATGTGGAGTCGACCTGTGACAACAAACGGCGCATGGTAGTCACAGACTACCTCAAGGACATTGAGTATCGTTTCCCGTACGCGAGAGGGGAACTTGGACATTGAGTCTCGTTCCTAGTCAGCGATGATCTCCCCATGGATATCTTGCTGGGTATGTACTATCTTTCGGTTGCACAACCCCAACTTGACTGGGACCGAAAAGTGGTCAAACACGGTTTGCCCGGCGCGGGGACCATCAGATTACGTAAGTTTAAGGCTAGTAATCTGGTTGAGTCCTACGGATGCATGTGTGCGGCTGCATTTTATAATTACTATAAGCAAAATCTGGAGGAGGTTATGTACTTGGTCTATGTCTCTGCAGAGGGCGAGCCGACGAAAATGCCTCCAGAGATAGAGGGAGTGGTTGCTAGATACCCTGATCTATTTGAAGAGCCGAAAGGGGTTGTTGAGAGGGAGGTTGTCCACACGATAGAGATTATCCCAAGGTCTAGTATTCCGAAGGGTAGGATCTATCGGATGTGTCCAACGGAGCTTGATGAGCTTCGTCGGCAACTCAAGGAACTCATAGAGAAGGGTTGGATCCGGCCTCTGTTTCCCCTTACGGATCTCCTGTCCTATTCGTACCAAAGAAAGGGGGAACCTTGAGGATGTGCATTGACTATAGGGGCCTTAATGCCATCACAGCTAAGAACGCAGAGCCCCTACCGCGCATGGATGACTTGTTGGACCGAGTGCAAGGGTGTCGGTACTGAAGTAAGATAGATTTGAAGTCCGGGTACCATCAGATTGCAATCCGGCCCGAGGATCAACACAAAACCGCTTTTCAGACCAGGTACGGTCTGTACGAGTTTGTGGTGATGCCTTTCGGCCTTTGCAATGCTCCTGGCACCTTTCAGCACGCCATGAACTGGATCTTTCATGACTACTTGGACAAGTTTGTCAGCGTGTACCTCGATGACATACTCATCTTTAGTAGGACTGTCGAGGAGCATGTTGGCCATCTAGACAAAGTAATTAGTCTCCTTCGGCAGCATCTGTTCAAGATTAACCGGGAGAAGTGTGAGTTTGGCCGCACCCGGATCTTGTACTTGGGTCATGAGATTTTTGCGGAGGGATTGACGCAAAGGTGGCCAGCATTCGTGCCTGGCCGCGTTTCAGTCTGTGACTGAGATGAGGTCCTTCTTAGGGATGACTGGCTACTACTGTAATTTTGTTAAGAACTATAGCATAGTGGCCGCACCTTTGACGAACCTGGCACACCTTGACACCCCGTGGGCTGAGAACCAGCCGACTGCTGCACCAGGCACCTTAGAATTCACCTATCGATATGAACGCCTGATGCAGCAAGTCGTAGAACAGATGCATAAAGCGCAGGTGGCAATGATAGAGTCTGAGAACAAGCATCGCCGCCCATCTACATTCCAGGTAGGGGATAGAGTCTGGGTCAAAGCCTCTGAACTGGGGCAGGACCATGGGATCTCCCACAAGTTCATGCCACAGTACTTCGGACCATGGGAGGTTCTAGATGTTGTCGGGGATGATCCGGACGGGCCATCATATGTCATTCGGATCCCTGGTCACCGTCACACCTACCCTGTTTTTCACGCCTCTCCCTCTCGTCGCTCAATGCTGCCCCCAACCATGGACGGAGAGGTCGACATCGACGACATCGTGGACCACAGAGAAACACCAGTTCTAGGACCGACAGGCAGGGGACTCCCTCCAAAGCTGAAGCTGCAATACCGCGTTCGGTTCAGACATCACACTGATCCTAAGGAGGACATGGTTTACTCGGGAGGAACTGATGCAGACCGCTCTACAGGCTGTTGCTCACTACGAGAAGTCACTGCAGAAAGGAAAGCGCCAGATTGAGTAATTGAACTTCTCAGAGGACTGTCGAAGTATGGAGGAGGGAATGTGAGGCTCAAGGCCTCGACGAGCCGTACTGGGCTATGCTTTCAGGAATGTCGGCCGCCCTAAATGAAGGCAGGCCCGACCAAGGACAAGAGGCCTATTTTGGGCTTACCACGCAACTGGGAAATTCAGGCAGTTGGGCGGCGCCAGTTGGTTGAGAGAACCCAGGCCCTGCCTTCCTTTCGCAAATGCATCTGAGGCAGGCCTTGGGCTAGACACGGGGCATGGACTGCGCACAGGCCGCCGGCAATTGGACACGGGTAACTACCCCAGGCCCTGTGTCTGATTCCCCTGGACCGGGGCTCAACCACTTGGGGCCTACCGGAAGCTTCCGGGCGAGGGGCCCAGCACAGCCAGGCAGCACGCAGCCGGCAGGCCATTTCCATATAGGAAAGTGCCTGCCCCCGCATTCGGCATTCGGGCACTTGCTACATGCTGCGCAAGCGCTGCTGCGCTGTCAGCTGGCAAGCGCCCACACGCTCAGGGGCGAGCGAGGTTACACGCAGGCAGTCGTAGCCGAGCTGGCCTGCGAGGTGCTGGAGTGGGGGCGCATGGTGGTCCTTGGGTGCGCGTGGCATCTGTGTGGGGGATCAAGGTTGTGAGTGATGCATGAGACATACCTGGTGGTTGAGGCGAACGGCATTGACTCGTACTTTGGGGAGCTGTTGGCGTCACCAGTGGCATTGTAGATAGGCTAGATAGGATCTGCCATTCGTAGTCTGGGCGCCGAGCGCCAGATAGGAAATCGACGTTGGTTAATGGTTGGTGATGATGAGACTATTCCAACATTGTCACGTGTGAGCTCTTGCTGTGCTCTTATTTTTGTGGAACTCGAGTTGCAATTCTGCCCTTGGTTCGAGGTTACGACTATCTGGTTTCATGTGTATGATGCTGCTTGGTTTCTGGAATTCGCTACCGCTCATTTTCCTTGCAAAATCTGCGTTCCTCCCAAAAAAAAAGGAAAAAAAAGAAAAAAAAGAGTTTAAAAAACTGCATTCTCTGAATTGCTATTACTGTTATAGTAGTTACTAACTTACTATTTATACAAAAAAAAAAAAAAGGGGGTAAGTGGTCCCATGCCTGACTTTCCTGAGAGGTTGAAATGCCGTTGAATTGTTAACAACTTTTTCTTTTTTTTTCTTTTTTTTTTTGTTAGTTTTTTTAGTTTACAACTTTACACTTAGCCAGAGTGATAAGGGTGGGGAAAAAAAACAAAAAAACAATTGACAATGTGCACCTCTGAGCGAACTGTTGAAATACAGACTTGAATTCAAATTCCACTGGAAGTAAAATGAGGAAAATAGTAAAATAGTAAAAAAAATACTGAATTGCTTCCCGTGGAGTTCGAACTCTAGGTCTGTATTTCAACAGCTCAGGGGTGCACCCCTTTTCCGCCTCATTTGCTTACAGTGGAGTTCGAACTCAGAAAAATCCTGAATTACCTAGGGCCGATCAGTTGGATGATCATTTCTCAAGGTTGTAGCCCTTTCTTTTTTTTATAAAGAAAGAGCGACAGCCTCCAGATATCGTCGTGAAACTGACCGTTACCCTAGCTATTCATTCAGGCATTTAAAGTTGTTCATCTGGTTCCATCGGCATTCGAACTGACGTCTGCATTTCAACAGCTTATGGGTGAACCTTATGAGTGAACCAACTGAGCTATAAGCCCGTTGGAAGGTCGTCACCCTTTCTGAAAAAAGAAAGAGGGGGGG